CACTGTGGGTGGGAGTATCTCCTCTGGCAAAATAATCTCATTAGAATCTAGGAGTTCAACATCATCAGCTTCCTCAGGAACCCCCCGCCCACAAACAGCTCCACCCCAGTGTCTTTTCTGATCAGAGCCCTCATCTTTACTTCAGATACCCTTTGAGGGTAACCATTATTACACTTATACTGTATTTAACCCCCTTGAGTTATGAGGACCTCTGTTTCGGTTTTTGCAATCTCAGCCCTGCAGCTAAAGGAAAGGACATTCTCTTTCAAGACACATTGAGAAACTTTTCAATTTTTTTATGTGTGTCTAAAGCTGAGCATTTGAATCTTTGAGGTTATTATTTTCCTTTATTAATTTGTCCTCAGGCTGAGAAAATTTCAGATTACCTATGGATGTTTTGAGCTCATTGTTTTCCTTCACTAGTTTATCTAGACATGTTAAGAGAAACCAGCCAACATCATTATATTTCCCACTGCCAAAAATATTCAAGAGTTTCATAGATGGAGTCACTAAATTCCTCACATTTCACAAGTGGTGAATTAAGATTTTTTTGGGGGTGGGTACCCGGGATCAAACTCAGGCCCTTGTACTTGCTAGGCTTGCACTTGCTAGGCAGGCAGCAGAACCACTGAGCCAAATCCCTGGCCCTTTGATTTTTCTGAATAATTTTCATCTCTGCCTTTTCTGATATGTGAGGGATCAATATTGCCTAAACTCAGCTAATGGGGTGATTTATTGGTGGCTGTTGTATTTTATTTTTAAGGTTATTGAAAAGAATTTGTTCTTAAGAAAAAGGAACCATTTTCTTTGAACTATTTTTGTAATATGATGTCAATACAGACATTCCTCATTTAACAACCTACTTATTTAACAATGGTTTGCATTTTTTTCATTAAGTTTATTGGTACATTTTAGGTATACAATACAGTTACATTCATCATTGGGATCTTGTACCTTTACATGACAGGTCTTGGTTCTTATTTTTTCCCCATTCCTGTGCCCTGCCTTACCCACTCCTCTCTTACTTATTTACAAAGACTTTGTTTCCATTTTTTCTTTTTCTATTTTTCTTTTCCCTTCTTTCTTTCCCCTACCCTTCCCACTTCCCCTACTCCTTTAGACCTTTTCTTCCTATTTCACATTATCAATTATACAATTTGAACCTTATTTACACTCTTAGTTTTTCATACCAGAGAAACTATTCAGTATTTACATGTATGTCCTATGTATTTCACTTAAGAATATGGCCTCAGTGTACATCCATTTAGCTATAAATATCTCTAGATTCTTGTTCTTTATGGCTGAGTAGTACTCAACAATGGTTTGCATTTATAGCAGAGGCATGCTGTTTGGACTTTGGACCTACCTCTGGGACTTACAACCTGACATTTCTTTCTTTCTATTTTTTTGGTACAACTCTGTACACCTTGTTGATAGAGCCTTGATATCTTTTCTTTTTTGTGCCACCATAAACCTTGTTAGTACCATAGAGTAATTTTTGTTGATTATACTCTACAGTACAGTGCAACAGTTTTATGTTGTGTTATACATTACAGCACTTCTTGGAAGAGTTATGCAAATGAAACATCATCAGGTTGACATTTCCTTTGACCATTTCTTTTCTTGTTTTTGTTTTTTTGAGACAGGGTCTCACTATATAGTTGAGACTACGCTGGAACTCACTATGTAGCCCAGGCTGATCTCAAACTCACAGCTATCCTCCTGCCTCAGCCTCCTGAGTGCTGGGATTACAGGCGTGTGCCACCATGCCCGGATCCTTTGACCATTTCTTTGTATTGAATATTATATTGTCCATATCAGAGCATATATACAATTTCTGATTTAGTGACCATCTCATATAATGACCTAGTTACATAAAGATAACTCAGTTGTTAAAAGAATAGGGCTTGTAGGACTTGTATATAGAAAGAGAGATTCCCTCTTATGATATGAGACATTTCTACACAACAAAATGTTTCAAAGATACCATCACTTAACAAAAGCTGGTTTCCATCTGAAAATTTATTTTACTCCAAATGAATCAATTTCATTGGCACCTGAGGACTATTGGAAATAAATAGTTCTAGAAGTGAACCCAATAGAAGGAGTGCATTGACAGATTTTTCTGGCCTTTTAGCACAGCTGTTCTGCCTGAACTGTATATGATCAACAGGTCTAATAAGATTATGTTTCAAATTATCCCTCCACATCAAAACAGGCAAATCATATATGTTTCTGATTTTGAAGCAAAAAAGGCTGACGTAAGCCACCTCATATGAGGTGCTGTTTCAATATCTAAAAAATGTCAGATAGCTTATTTTTCACCAGTATCATACATTATAGAAATAATATATATATTGAAGACATTTGTTTTTTAATAAATGCTGTGACCATATTGTATAAATGAGGGGTACAGTATCAAAAAATTTAAGGTTGCAAATGTTGGTAAGGATGAAGAGAAACTGGAAATCTTACACATAGCGCATCCTTTGTGTGAAATATTTTGGCATTTCCTCAAAAAGTTGAATACAGATTTACTATACTACTCAACCCCTCCATTTCTAGGTAGATGCTCTAAAAAACAGAAATTATGTATTCAAATAAAAATGGATGTGCTTTACACATATGTCAAAGTCATGGCAATGAAAGAGTCCCAGCATGAGTTTCAGAAAAGAAAACTGAATACAAATGGAAAAAAGAATTTTTGTGCCAGCCAAGAGAAATGGTGAAAGTGAAATCCACCTAAGCATCAACTATTCCATGCTTTAATTTCCTGACATGGGGGCTTTATGATAGCCAACTAGGAGTGTCTCTACTTTGGTAAAATACATGGTAGTGTTTCACATGGACTTGCAAATCTGGAAAAGCAAGAACTACCCAAGAAGGTGAGTGAATCAATGAAGTAGTTCCTAACTCAATTGCAGGTGTCTTATAAGTTTGAAATTATTGAGAAGTAAAATACTTTTCTACAATATCCGTGTCAATATCGTGCCAGAAAAAATGAACATCAATTTTCACTCTACGGGCTAAGGGATTAGTGACCTTTCTTATTGTGGAGACACAGTACCTGACATTTGCAACTAAAGGGAGGAAGCCCTGGCTCATGACTGTGAGGGATTCAATCCATGGTTGGCTGGCTCTAAGAAAGCAATGTCACGGGGGAAGTATGTGGCAGAGAAAGCTTTTTTGTTCATGGTGGCCTAGAGGAAGGGACAAGTGGCCAGATAGACACGGAGGTCATACCTCCATGTCTCGTGCAAAACACACCACAGGTGTAAACTGGCAATTCCCTGAGTAGATCTGCAATGCAATCACAGTGACACTCCAAATTAACTGTCATTTACATGACAATGATTGTACTATGTTGATTGAGATTATATATGTAGTTCAGCATTAGGTAATGTTGCTAATCTCTACCTGTGCTAAACGAAAATCAACCAAATTTTAGCATAGATTTTACGTATGGGAAAAACAATATATATGTGTTTTATATAGTTATTAATATCCACTGTTGGGTTTGAAGCATACATTGGAGACACTGAAACATAGCCTCTTCAAATAAGGACATATTACTCAATTTATGTGATACTATTTGAAAGGGATGTACTTATAAATGATTGGATTTGACTACAGAAATAAATGAGGCTATACTGCTGTGAGAGAATAGGATCAAGGGGATTATTCTAGACAGGTAAATAGATTATGTAAATCCTTAGGCACAGATCATCTCCTGAGATATCTAAATAGAATAGTGATGGAGCCAACAATAAACAGGAAAAAGTGGATGATTCATAATCAACTTTTCTATACATTTGTCATACGGATATGCCTCATGCCATCTATGTTTTTCAGTAAACAATAATTTTTCAATGTTTTGAATCCACACACAGTATCCTAGAATTGTCTTTTCTTCTTCATTAATAAGCACAGAAAGAAGACAAGGATTTCTTGGTTTAAATACACAGACATCATTCAATTATATTTACATTATGACTGCTCAATATTGGTGTAAAGCAGGTGAATAAACCGTAGATGGCAGCACAGCCTTAAATCCAGTGACTTCAAGATGAAGTACATTGAGCCCAGTGGGGGTCAGGACATTTCCCTTTCCTTGGGTCCTTCTGGCCTACAGATCTTTTGTCCTGCTGCCTCCAACTGCTCAGAACAGCCATGGAAAGCACGTGACACACGTGTCAATTGTATTGGGGGTTTTGTCCTTTCAGAGGTGCTTACTGGTAACTGCGGCTTTGCTTTCCCTGGGAAGTGGATCTTGAAATGCAGTTGCTGGAGTCACGCTGAAATATGCCCTTAGGAAGAAAAGCTATGAAGAGCATTCATAGAGATTACTCACTCACACAGACTTCTAAAGAAAGGGTTGACGCATTTGGCAGTTTATTTTCTGCAGACACCAACTGTTAATTTTACTATTTTGTTTTTGTTTTTGTATTGCAGGCATAAAATTCGTGACGTACAGGATTTAAAAATAAAAGCACTATTTTAGCTCATGGTTGAAGAAGCTAAAGCTGGTTGTTATTTGACCCCCACTTAGAAATATCGCAGTGGAAGGAAATGAAGTAAGATAACCGCCACATGAGAACCAGGAAGCACAGAGCAAACCAGGTGCCAGAGAGGGAGGGGAAGGAGAAGATAAGGTCCCGAATGTCTCACCTCCACGACTGGACCAGACACACCAGCAGTGTGCTTTACTAATACCCTACACACCTCTCATGCCAAACAAGACATTAATCAAGAGTGTCCCGTGACTCCGGGCAATATTTTCCTTCTAGCAATATGAATGTGTTGGGAGACAGTTGCAACTTGAGGAGGGAACTACAGGGCACCGGGAGCTTTCCCTGCCTCTACACCACAAAGTGAGTTTGTTCAGCAATCACATGCCTTTGTCTGGCATGTATTTTCTTAGTTTAGAATGATTAAATCAAGAGATACAGTGTGAGAAAGTCGTGTCTATGAGGCCAACGACCTTATTCTTAATCTCTCACCTCTCAAAAAAGCAGGGCCACCCTCTCTTCTCTTGTGTCTTGGTGTTGTCTGGACTCCTGACGCTCCAAGATGAATTAACTCGAACTGCCTTAGCAGTCTGGTGACCCCACCTGGAAGGGTAAGATCCCACTGAGTCCAGTAAAAAAAACAAAAAAAACCCTAGAGTAGCCAGGCATGGTGGTGCATTAATGTGAAGCACAAGGGTCACAGAGAGCTCAAGACCAACTTGAGGTAAATAGTGAGTTCAAGAACGGACTTAATTACACAGAAAAAAAAAAAATGCAGGCTAAGACGGGTTAGCATCCTGGGAGATAAAACGGTCAAGCTGTGTCTGGGTCATTATTTCCCATTTCAGATTCAAACTGACCTGTAAGGGCTCCTTTCTGTTGTCGCTCTCAACTCAGAGGGCGGGCAATGGGGCAAGAGCCAATCAGTGATGAGGGTCGGGCTGTATGAACTGTCCAATCAGGTGGCCCGGGAGGTGGGCCCTCTTGCCTGGCTCCACAGCTCAGTTCTTGGGCGCAGTGGTGAGAGCCGCCCCAGCGGGGCAGGCCGTCCTGTGTTAGGATTTCTACTGGCTGCAGGCTGCGTGGGATGCTACCCGGGAGACCCTCCAGCGACAATGGTGACGTAGTGGGATGGGTGCGCTGACTAGCGACCCGACGAGAGGGGCGAGGCCTGGGCGGAAACGGTGGGGACAGCAATGGCGCCGGCGCCTCCCCGCTGCTCGCATCAGAGCTCCTCCTGGTCTCCGCGCCGTGGACACTCTGTCCCTCCGCCCTGCCTCAGAGAGGTCTACACGGTGTGCCCAGCACCCTGTCTGTCCACAGCCACCCCGCCAGCCTGGAGGGCGGTGTCGGGCAGCCGCAGCTGCGTCTCCACCTGTGCGCGGAGAGGGAATTGTGGGGAGACGCTGCTTCCGGTGGGGAGTCCAGGCGGGGAAGCTGTGGTGTGCGGGATCCCTGGTCCCATTCATCATCACTCAAGCAGAGCTGGAGGACCTCAGTTTTATAAATATTTGTGATACAGGGTCTTAGTCACACCTTAGATTCTTAGGCCAGTGTTGCCTTGTGATGAGAGTAAATTGCCAAAATTCCAGGTGTCAAACTCAGGATAAGTGAGATTAATGCCCTGAGAATTGAAAGAAGGGATCGCCAGGCACGGTAGTGCACATCTATAATTCCAACACTCCGGAGGCTGAGGCAGGAAGGAGTTGGAGTTAAGAGTTGGAGTCCATCCTGGGCTTTCTAGTGAGAACTACATAGTCTAATCGTCAAACAACAAGAAAACACAGAAAGGTTTAACTTGGCTAGTGATGTGAGTCGGTGCTGGAATCCTTGCCAAGCATGAGTGAACTCCTGTGTTATATACACAGCGCTCCAAAATTAATGATCATCTCTTCTAACAGAGCCCACTTAAGCGAGGTCTTCCCATAGAGTCTGAATGCTGAGAGAAATGGAGAAAATGTTAATGTGTGAACAAGTGCAGAAGAAAGTGTTCTTGCTAAAGTCTACTTCCAGAAGGAGCTGCCTGTTATACACACAGTGTGAGACTCATTAAACTCCAACATCTGCAGATATGTGATTTGATAGGAGTGGAAAAGCAGAGGGGCAGCACCTCAAATAACTAATTGCTGTAGTCCTTGGACCATAGATGCCGTTTTAAGAATTGGAATGCTGATGGAGGTGGACTTTATATTTAAGGAGTAGTGTAGTAGGGGTAAGGCCTGAAATGTGAGCTCTACAGCCATATGAGCGGTTACTGAGAAAGGAGTTTTCTGTGCAGGAAGGAGCAAAGAGAGAAAGAGAGGGAGAGGAGGGTATGGGGATAGTGGTAAAATCCATACCTCCAACAGAGCGGGTCTTTCCCTGAGGTCAGATTGTTGGTGTGACTGTAAAGAATTGTGTGCTGCAGCAATCTAAGGATGAGTCCAATGTCACAGGCATTAAGGAAGGAAAAGACTAAGTAGACTTTAGATAACTATTTTTTTTCTCTTACTACTGATCAGTAACCTAGTGGATTTTTTGTTTTTTGAGACAGGGTGTTCTGTGTACTTCCGGATGGCCTTGAACTTCCTATGTGGACCAAGTTTGCCTGCAACTTGTGGCAGTCTTCCTGACTCTGAGTATTCAGACTGGAGGTGTCTTCCAGTACTCTTGCCCCTAACTGTTTTTGAAGAAAAAATGGAAGTTAGGAGACTGACTGACCTTTTCTGACAGAAGCCGTGCTGGATGCATTTTTTCAAATACAAGTCAATATAAGTGTTTATCAGTTTTAAAGAAGGCAAGGCTTAGCATTGTTTGCTAGATCACGTATATTCAGTGCATTTTCGATACATTACATTTTGAATTGCCTGTGGGTTCATCAAGATATTTTCCTTTGGTAACTCAAGAAGATTATGTAGACTCATTCCTTCAACTCTTTCTAAAGTACTTCTTTGTAGAATATGAAGCATATCACACTGTGATAAGTATACTGTTGACTGCTGTATTAATCAGGTTCTCCCATGCAAATGAACTCAGATATATTGGGGGGGCAGGGGGAGGGAGAGGGTTGTAGCCCAGGGTGAACAAGAATTTGTGTAGGTGGGCATGGTGGTGAATCCTTCAAATCCCAGCACTTGGGAGGCTGAGGCAGAAGGATTACCTTGAGTTGGAGGCCAGCCTGGGCTACGTAGTGAGTTTAACACCATCCTGATCTACTTAGCAAGATGCTGTCTCAAGAAACACAACACCCAAAAAAAGAAAACTTGTGATTTTCTTCTGCCTCAACTCATCCAACTGCCTGGCTGTCAGATTTTATCTGTGCATATTATTTCTTTCTGTGTTGCTGATTTTTAAGGATTTGTTGATAATGTTTTATAAAGGTGGTTATATAAATGCTTGGAAGTGTATGAGGATTTCTCATTGTTCATAGTCTTTACATTGATATGTGAGGATTTTTTTTTTTTTTTTTTTTTTTTGGTTTGTTGAGACTGACCTGGAACTCACTATGCAGCTCAGGCTTGTCTCAAACTCACAGTGATCCTCCTGCCTCAGCCTCCCGAGTGCTGGGATTACAGGCGTGCTCCACCACAACTGGCTGAGGATTTTCTTATATAAAGCAAAATACTGCCACAGATTGAGACAAGTAGCAGAATGGTCCAGCTGATCATTCCTTTTAAAGATGACTTTAGAAGTTTATGCAAAAATTGATAAAAGTTCAATCTTCTAATAAAATGTGTTTTTAAAAACATAAAATGTTCATAATGTTCATATACGTACATTTTTTCACTTTTGATTCTATTAATAACAGGGCCAGGGATGAAATTCAGCAGCATAGCACCTGCCTGGCAAGCAGGAGGCTCTGAATTTGATTCCCAGTACCAAAAAAGAAAGAAAAAAATAACAACTCATTTTTTTTAAATTTCCAGTATGTCTCATCCTAAAACCAAAGACTACTTGTTTCTCTGCAGTTACTATGTCAATACTGACCTTGATTTAAAAAAGATTTGAGAGCTATTCCTTTATACTATGTTTTTATATTCTGAATCCTTTGGCTTTTTGTATAGATACAGTTTTAGTGAGTAATAAAACTATGAGAAAGATTATACTATTTTCAGTTAATCTCCAACACGATAGATCTTCTTGTCCTTGACTTGTCATGTTACATCTTGATCCTTTCATCACCTGTGGATAATGATTTTGCCTCTTCCATTTCGATCCTCATGACACATGAATTTTGGTCTCATGTGACAGAACAGTGGGGATAGTGATTGTCCTGGACTCATTTCTGATCCTAAAATAATTCCTGTAGAGTGTCTCTATTTAGAGTCCCATATGTTAGTTTTTGCTATATGTACTTTATCTAGCAACTAATCCCTTTCAACTTTTTATTACAGACATTTAATGAATAATTAATAGAAATTGAGATGTAGAAAACATGTTTATGCCAAGATTCAAATAATCACAAGGTTTTTCTTTGTTGATTTACATTTCTGTCGCTGAACTATTCTAATCTTTGATAAAATATACAGCCATCACTTAATTATGATATTTTTGACTGTGTGAGTGTGTATGTTATGTGTGATTATGTGTGTGTGTGTGTTCATGTGTATGTAGTACTTCAGATTAGGCCTAGGACATCGTACATGCTAGGGACTGATGCTACCACTTAGCTTCTTGCCAAGATGAGAAGCTATTTTCTAAGAAACTCTTGTAATATACTAGTTCATGTTTTATCCCAGCTGTGAAAATCCATATTTGTAGGTGTTACCATCTTTTTTGTAACCATGTTGCCCATTTTCAGGTAAAGATCATAGTAATTTAATGACATTTCTGCAGGGATTCCCTATTTATATATGTATGTATTATTTCTAGACAGGGTCTTACTCTGTTGCTCAGGTTGACTTTGAACTTATGAATTCTCCTGCCTCCATCTCCCGAATGCTGAGATATAGATATTTACTACCATGCCTGGCTCTCCTACCCACTTTTTTTTTTTCAGCTTTAATTGAGTTTATGGACCTTGTCTAGCTGAGCATATCTTTGTTTTTTTAGTATAATGGTTGCATTTGTATATATTTTATATACAAAACAGATATATTTATTATGAGGAATTGGTGCATATACAAATCTCATCTTGATCTGTATCTTAAAGTTGCATAGATACACCTGTAATCCCATTGGAAGATGAATTTATAAAGGGAAGTTTTTGTATGTGTGGCATAAATAATTTGACAGTTTTCAAAGAAAATAAGTACAAAATACCATGGAGAAATTTTCTTAGAGTATTGTGACTGGACCTCATAAGAAATAGTTTACAACAGAGGAAGAACAGAGATCATTGCAATTCTAAGCACTCATTGCACATTGGGTATTTTATTTTATTTGTATCTTAGTTCCCTGGTAAGTGCATATTTCTCAACATAGTGGGAAGCTCTTGACAAAACAGGAAGAGAAGAGAGATGACAAGAATGGCCTGCTTCATAGAAAAGGAAAACTAAGCACATGTCACCAATACATGTATGTGTGTGAGGAACAAACTTGCTATGTGTGAAGACTGCCTTAGGTGTTATAATAGAAATAAAGATTTTTTATAGAGTTCTATTGGTATTTTCATTGTAGCTCATATAGCAGTTTATTTCTGGTTTTTGGGGGTTTTTTGGGGGGGTACTGGGGATCAAACTCTTGTCCTTGTGCTTGTGAGGCAGGAGGTAGAACCACTGAGCTAAATCCCCAGCTCTGTTGTTATTTTTTAATACTTTGTAGACCAAAATTTTCACTACTGAAAATTATGAATACTTAGTATTAAAAATACAATATTTTTTAATATTTTTCCTATTTAGTACTCATTGTTTAAAATAATATAACTCATAAAATTAAAATTAATATTTCATCAATAGAAGTATTGTAAAGAATAAATGTGTTGTAATACTCCCATGTTTATTGCCTTTTATGACAATTTTTTTTTAAATGTTATGCTCGGCTGTTATAGAAAGGACAACCTAGTCAGTGGAGTTGTATGAAGAGATGGTTTTCCAAAGGTAAACAAAACATGTAAATTCTAGGCACAGAGCAATATTCAACTGCGATGGTGAAGTAACCACCAAGGCACAGGAAAAAAAGGATAATTCTGATTTGATTA